TACAGAAGAAGAAACTAATATGAGAGAATATTTTTATTAGAAAACAAAGAATATTAATTCCTGAAGTGTCATTAACTCAGGGATGAAAATTTTCCATCCAGCCACCGCTCATTCTGTTAAGACTCATGTAACCCAACCCAAACACTGTTTATGAAAGATGACATTTGACTGTCCTTGCTAAATGATATTTAGTGAACATGCAAACACCTTGTTCCTTTCCACCTATTTATCACACAAATATAGCATTGCACATTTCTCCAATATCAACCTGCAGAGGTCTACTTCTGTCAGTTTCAAGAAACACAAGGACATTTTAGATCAGTTAAGAAAAAAGTCTGTGGAAACTTACTGTAACTCTAGGGATTCCCCAAATTTCTTTGATAGCAAAATGCCTAATTCAGATTAAGTTATACTACTCAAACAAAATAATTTGATTTCTGCTTTATATGGCTGATTTTATATATTGTTGCTACAAAACTACTTAACTGCTGGTTCTCAAAACATATACAAGTAATTTCTATCACAAATTCTGATTTGGTGTCCTTATAAAATAAAGTCTTGATCTGTCTTTCCACATAAATGATAATCCTCCTTCTGGAAAAGCACATCAAGACCTGCTTTTATCTCAATTACATGCATACAAGTTTCACAGGCAGTATCTAAGCTTATCCTGCTGCAAAATTCCAGGAGGATGCAATTGCGAAATGATTTCCTTAACATCTGTAAAAGGTAAGCTATTGCCACCCACTTTCAGCCTCCGTTCCTGGATTCCCCGCTAAGCATCATTGTCCTCATGTCACTCAAGCAACATGTAATTATGGTTCAGGACTTACTCTATTTTCTCCTATTGTCTTCCTAATTTATTTGAGGAAGGGAAAAGATACTCCACAGTTCCATCACCCTCCTAGAAGGATGACAATACAGACTGTCAGAAATAATCCAGCTTGAGACCACTTTAACTGTCCTGACTCAGTGCTAGGGAATCATGAGAACTGTAGTTTATTGTGGCACCAGAGCTCTCTGACAGAGAAGGCTCAATGTCTCAGAAAAAACTACAATTCCCATGATTCCCTAGCACTAAGCCAGGGCAGTTAAAGTAGACTCAAGTTGCACTATTTCTAGCAGTCTGTATTGTCATCCTTCTAGGAGGGTGATGGAACTGTGGAGTATCTTTTCCCCTCCTCAAATAAATTAGAAAGACAATAGGAGAAAATACAGTAAGCCCTGAACCATATAATTACATGTTGCTCTTGAGGGATTATTTCTGGCAATCTGTACAGGCCCAAAACAAATCCCAAGCCTTCCTTTGCAGCTTGAAGATGGGAGAGAATCAGGGCCAAAAAACAATACACTTCTAAGTAAAAGCTCCAACCATAAAAAACAAGCATATGCTGCTAACGACTTAACAATTTATTGTCAAGGATGTCCAGGGTCATAGCAACATGGTTTGCATATAATGAGGTATTTTCAGAAATGAGTTCTACACAGTGGCAAATGCTCAGGCTTATTACCATGGCATGACACGACCTTGAAAAAAGAAGAGATCTCATTTGCCTAGAGATACTTCCACCATTTGCATGAAAGGGAGGGAAATAACAGCAGATCATTGAACAGAAAGGGTTTTATTCCCCACTTCTTATCTAAAAAATGTGGCTTCTCGCCTGGCCCATTAAAAAGTGTGTGTGTGTGTGTGTGTGTGTACGCGTATAAAATCAGGTGCCTGGTACCTATCAGAACTTAAGAAGAGTTATGCTAGAGTAGACCAAAGTCTCATCCCATTCAGTCCACTGTTCCCACAAATGGCCAACAAGTTGCCAAGGGAAGCTCCTTAGCGGGATATGAGCATGCCATCCTCCTACTCATCCTCCCTAGTAACTGATATTTAGAAGCATTCTGCCTCTGGAAACAGAAGTAATACACCAACCCTCCATATCTACAAACTCATAGCTTGAAAATATATATATAATATATATATATATATTTAATTCCAAAAAACAAACTTTGATTTTGCCATCTTATACAGTGGGCTCTTAGTATCCCCTGGGGTTTGGTTCCAGAAACCGCCATGGATACCAAAATCCATGGATGCACGAGTCCCATGAATGGCATAGTAAAATGGCAAAATCCACATTTGCTTTTTGGAATTTATATTTTTAAAAAATATTTTCAAGCCATAGATGGTTGAATATGCAGATAAGGAATCTGTGGATATGGAGGGCCGACTGTATAAGTGGAACCATTTTACTAGGCCTTGTATATAATGGGACTTGAACATCCACAGATTGTAGTATCCACAGGGGCACCTGGAAACAAATGACAGCAGATACTACTTTATATAAAGATTGCAGCTGCTGTATACGGAGATTGTGATTAGCAGCTACTAACAGCCCCATCCTCCAAGAATTTATCAAGTCCCCCCTGAAATCTATCCAAGTTGCCACCCATTACTAAACTATATTTTGTAGCATCTTTGAGATTAACTGAAAGAAAGAAATTGGCAGCATGGGCTTTCATGAAATTGCTGCCAATTTCTTTCTTTCAATCTCAAAGGTGCTACAAGATCTCTCTATATACTGATTCTGCAGACTAACACGGCTATATCTTTGTAAACTACATCTTCTAAAATTTACAATGTAAATCATAGACAGAAGCCCCTATCTTCTTATGTGCAGAGAATGGACATTTAAGAAAAGCAAATAAAGGCAGACTCATAACATTTCCCTCAAAACGGTTGCTCTCAAAAAAACAAGACTGTTTATAATAGCACTTCCACTTACTGCTGTCATACAGAAAGAAAAGAATGGCACACAAGGCTTTTTGCTAAGTACAGTCAGCCCTCTACATTTGCAGCTTTGACTTTTGCAGCTTTGATTAATATGTTCTCTCTAGGAATCTCTAGGTCCTCCAGAGAAATTCTGACAGAGTTCTGCTGGAGGACCTAGAGATTTCCAGAGAGGTGTTCTCTCAAGTTAAAAAGTAGGATTTTTTTGTGTTTTTTTCCATTTTCACAGGGTCCCGTGCCCCTAAAATTAGCAAATGTGGACGGCCTACTGTACAATAACATCCAAAATCCACAAAAGATTGATAGCAGTAGCAATAGAGGAATAGCAAGTACATTTTTATACTGCTTATCAGTGAACTAGCACTCCCAAAGCGGTTTACAATCTGTAAGCCAATTGTCCCCTACAAGCTGGGTACTCATTTTACCATCCTACGAAAGAAGAGAAGGCTAACCAGACCTTGGAGCCCTGAGATCGAACTCACAACCTTGTGGCTGTAAGTACTGGCATTTAACCACTGCGCCACCAGGGCTCCTTTGTGAAGTGTATCACAAGTCATACACTTTTTGCTGGTATTACAATGATCACCAAGGGCAAGAAAGAGAAGGCGAGGAGAAAGACAGAACACTTTAACAAGTTCCCACTCTTTACCCACTAAGCTTAGGCACATCACACTCTCTCAGCCTCAGAGGATGTCAATGCAAACCCCGTCTGAAGAAACTTGCCAAGAAAACCCCATGATAGGTTCACCTCAGGGTCGGCCATACACTGGAAATTATTTGAAAGGACACAACAACAACAATAACAACAAACAACAGGCCTCTCTCAGGGAGTCCCCATTGGCCCTGGGCTTCTGGATCAAAAAGGTCACTTTCCCACGTTCTGCTCTTCCTTCCTGCAGGGGGCGCCAGAGGGCAATCCATGAACCATCTTTCTCTGAAGTGGAGAGACACCTGCCATTTAAAAAGCTTATCTTATTTAAAAAATGCCTATTCCAATAAAAAATATTATATTTAAAAATGCCTATTCACAAGCCTACTTGTGAAGCTTGCTTGAAAAGTGCTAGATAAAAATAGTTTCAGGATAAATAAAATAATCCACTAGCTATGCTTCTAACTGTATTCTTTTGATTTGTGAGCTGCTTTGTCTCCCAGTTTTGAGGGAGAAAAGCAGGATATATAGAAATGTAAGAAGAAGAAGAAGAAGAAAGAGGAGGAGGAGGAGGATTAGGAAACGTTATTTTCCCAAATTCAGCTTTTCCTTCTTTCAGGTGGCATCAGAACTCATGAACCATCTTTTCCCAAACCTAGAACACCTACTAAGGAAGATCAAAGAAGAAAGTGCAAAGGCAGGCCTACTGTTGAACATAAAGAAAACAAAAATAATAACTGCAAGGGGACCTTCACAACTTCAACCTAGACAATGAGGAAATAGAAATAGTAAAACAATTCCCAAACCTGGGATCAAACATTGATAGAAAAGGGGAATGCAGTCAGGAACTCAGAAGACTAAGTATGGGGAGGCTGGCTATGAAAGAACTAAAAAAGATTCTAAAATGCAAAGACATACAATTCAGAACAAAAATTATAATCATACAAGCTGCTGTATTCCCTATTACCATGTATGGATATGAGAGCTGGACAGTTAAGAAAGATGATGGGAAGAAAATCAATGCATTTGCGATAATGTGGTTCTGGAGAAGAGTGCTGAGGATCCCATGGACAGCCAAAAGGACCAACAAATGGGTCCTAGAGCAGATCAAGACAGAGATATCCCTAGAAGCCAAGATGAAAAGACTTAAACTTTTGTACTTGGACACATCATAGATGGCATGAATAATTGGAAAAGACAGTAATGTTAGGAAAGGTGGAGGGAAGTCGAAAGAGAGGAAGGCCACATGCTAGATGGATGGACTTTATTAAAGAGGCCATGAATATGAGTTTGCAGGAGCTGGGCAGAGCAATAGAGGACAGGGGGGCCTGGAGATGTCTCATCCATAGAGTCACCGACGGGAAGGCAGTTAACAACAACAAACAACCGGGGAAAAACATGTCATCCAATAATCTTTCCTGATAAAAATGCCCATTCTATTTTAAATGATTATTCTCCTTCAACTGAGGCTTAGTGTTTCAGATTTTTTAGATGTCCCCCTTTGTGAAGCCCACCTGAAAAGTGATAAATAAAAATAGTTTCAGGATAAATAAAAGGATCCTAACGAGAGCCAGCGTGGCCCAGCGGTTTCAGTATTGGACTATGACTCCGGAGATCCAGGGTTTGATTCCCAGCTCAGCCATAAAACCCACTGGGTGGCCTTGAGTGGCAAGTCACACTCTCTCAGCCTCAGGGGAGGCCATGGCAAAACCTCCTCTGAACAAATCTTGCCAAGAAAACCCCAGGATAAAGTTACTATAAGTAGGAAATAACTTGAAGGCACACACACACACACAACCACACCTACAGGAAGAAAGGTAGAGCAGAATTTGGGGAAATGACATTTCTTAATCATTCTTATTCTTGTTATCCTGCTCTCCTCCCCCAAAATTGGGACCCAAGGCGGTTTACGAATTAAAATATTCACTTTTTCTTAAGTGGATTGTTATTTTAACTGGTAAGTCGCTTGGAGAGAAAAAAAATTGAGGG